TTAGAAAGTGGGGCCGTGAAACTCACCCTAGTAGCGTGATCTATAGAATCTAAGCGGTCAGAGGCTCGTCATAGTGAGGCTCGGGAAGGGAAACGGCCTTCGGAAACGAGAGAGAATGAAAGTAGAAGGTGTAAGGATTGAATGAGCTTTGATCGCTATTTATAGGGTGTTCTGGGCCATTCCACGTCGTGGCCATCCATGAGTTATCCGGTAGCTTTAACACGTGTTTTCTAGCCCTGATTAGTGTCCCAGACACGTTTCACGTCGTGGCCTTAATTGCCACGTCGTTGCTTAAGGCGGCTAGGGTTTCTTGCCACGTGTCATGCTCTAAGACAGCTGCATCTTCGGAAGTTCATAACTTTTGCATACGAACTTCGTTTTTGACGTTCTTTATATGCACGCGTAGCTAACTCCGAGTACTACAACTTTCTTTTGGACTCCAATAGCTAATTATAAGTATATTTTAAATTCCTCTTATTATAGAGATGTTATAGTGTTTGGTTTATCATAACTTCTTCACACGAAGTTAGATTTAGACGTTCTCTACATTTTTGGAATCGTATGGACGTATACTTTGAGTTATATGATAAATTATGTATGAATGTTCATACTTTTACATGAATTACATAGTAAGTTTATCACATTACTAGTTTAACAAAATCACATTACATGATTGGCATAATCACATGTGATTTGTTATTGACCTAATTTTGACGGGTGTTACACTTAGACACCTAATCCAACAAGTTTCCGTTTGAGTTCGAATATTCTAATAATCATTGCTTCTTTTTCTATGCAATTAAGGCGATGCCCATATATGCTAACCCCTATTTTTACCTATGATGAATATGAACAAATCATGTTTTGTTGTAATGAATCATTATTCATTATTTCGAATCAAAATTACATGATTTCAATATTTATATTTCTATCAAATAAATCTGTAAAAAAAAATCCTATTTGATAGATGACAATATCACATGTAATGAATTTAATTATCAAATCGATGCTTTTATTAAATCAAGTTATCAAAAACATCTCAAATTAAATAAATGAAAATCATACCGTTTTCCAGTAGATATAGCATGTCACACTTTATATCAAATTTTATTTTCTTATTTGTTCAACTATAAGAAAGTTACATTTTATTATCAAAACTCATATGGTTTTAATTAATTTTCAAATTATATTCATGTTACATAACATTTAATTATCAAAATTATGTTACTATAAATTCGCAAACAAGAATTTTGTATTCATATACTTATATGTAATTATATAGATATCGATGATTGATAACAAATTTGAAGATATTTGAAAATACAATTTTCATTTGTTAATAGTCTTATAATTTTGAATATAGTACTAAAAAAATGAAATAAAGTCATAAAATTTGAGACAAAAGCAACAAATTTATATTATAATTCACAATTAAACTTATAATATTTTAAATTCATAAATTAGATTTAATATTATTTCAAATAAATTTGAAATTTTTTTAAATCTATAACTTATAACTTAATTTTATAATATTTGAAATCTATAAACTTTATTTTATAAAATTTCAAATCCATAACTTTATTTGTATTATTTCAATATATAAGTTTGATTTTATAAAATTTCAAATTCATAAGCTTGATTTCATAAAATTTCAAATCTATAACTTCATTTTATAATATTTCAAATCCATATACTTAATTTCAGAAAATTTCAAATTCATAACTCAATTTTATAATATTTCAAATCCATAAGTTTAATTTCATAAAATTTCAAATCCATAACTTAATTTTATAATATTTTAAATCCATAAGTTAAAATTCATAAAATTTCAAATCTATAATATTTTAAATCCATAAGTTTAATTTCATAAAATTTCAAATCTATAATATTTTAAATCCATAAATTTGTTTTCATTTCATTTTAAGTTTATAATTTCAATTGCATAAAAATTAATCTTAAATATGGTGTTTTAATATTTAACATCAATTTTTTGTAATTATTAAGAGGGTTTAAATTGGGACATAAAATAAAATTAAAAAGTAATTTTAAATTATAATCTATCGGACATAAATTAAAATTAAAGAGTAATTTCAAATTATAATCCTATCCAATGATATTATTATAAAACTTAAACTCATATTTCTATAAATCAAAAATATTTTGAATAATCACATATCATATGGAATATAATAAATATGTTTGAAAATGATATTCGATTAATAAAACCTATATCAATTGCATAATTATATCATAATTGAAATTAATTATTCAAAACTGTATATCAGTTTTTGTTATCATATTTTAAACATAGTTATTGCATTCCATTTGGTACAAGTGAATGTGACTATTCAAAACAAATTTTGAGTTTGCCGATAAGGGGTGTTTTGGATTCATTTTTCAAAGGGAAAAATCATTTTTGTAAAAGGATTTTTTTGTAAAAGACATTTTTCCAAAAGATGATGTTTAAAAAGTGTTTGTGATTTATTTTGTTTTTCCAGCCTCAAAAGTTCCCAAAGATACAAAAAGTCACGTATGTGTGACTTTTGCAAATACTAGTTTTTATGTTTTGACAAAATTTGGTTTTAAAAGTATTTTTCCACTTGTCAAACAAATTTTGGACTTTTAACTTTTTGGAAAAGTTAAAATTCAAAAAGTTGATTTAAAACGCCCCAAAGTTCTTGTGGAATTGGTAAAAATAAAAGAAAAGAGGTGGGAGGCTATAACGAAATCGCATGAAGTTAGGGGTCCAAATATAACAAAAAATGGATACGCCATTTTGCCCCCTCTATAGTCTATACGCAATGCATTGCTAGCTATCATGCAGAGATAGAGAGAGAGAGAGATAGAAAGAGCAGAGCAGAAACGGAGCGCTGCCAGTTGCGTCATGATCGATGCATTCCTCCACGAAAATAGGAATCCAAGCATATGCATCGGAGAAGATCTTTCCTGCTTACTCTCTCTCTCGTAGCTAATTTCCTCGATTGTTCGCACGTATGCCATAAACCCTTTATACACAAACCCTCTGTTTTGAGTTGCATTTCTATAAAATCTGGAGGTCATTTGGTGATTCATTGATTACTCAACTCACAAGAAGTTTGAAAGCCGTCTCCTTTACTACCTACCGTGCTGGTATTCCCTTGTTCATATAATTAGGGTATTTCCATTTACAACTCTCTTCATTAAGCATATTTAGTTTGGCTTCGAGAGTATTTATTACCAGGTTCATGTCTTATTGAGTTGTGTATTTTCGGATTACGCTTCCCAAATGCTATTCATTTATGTTCTTTTATATCATTATGAATCTAATCTGTTCTCTGTTATATGATATGTAGCATCTAGGGTAGAATTAATGTGTGTATACATACATATCAACGATCTATTCTTCCTTTACATGGATCTGAAATATATTGATGATCCCCTTTTTTCCACTAGCATGATCGTAACACTTGAATTCTATGCATTAGCTAAATGCTTTGTTTTATGATGATACTGATTCTGACGGAGGGGATTTGATTCCTGCTGAAACCTAATGTCATTGGTTAGCATTATCTCATGGGCTAAAGATGTCCTTACAAGTGTCAAGGCAGCTATTGTTCTATATTTATGAAAGTGTAATTGTTGACTCTGGAGACTATATGTGGGCCCAGATGGGTGTCTAGAGCCCCATGCCTGGAAACTCAAATTGAAGTAATGTTGGTGACATGTAGATACCTTTTTCCATAAATGGTGCAAATTTACATCCCAAAAAGCAAAATGGTGCTCCTTCTTTAATATGAACGGAGTGTATAATTCTTATTTTGTGGTTGCTATAATTAGGCGAGACAACTCATGTGATTGATAATTCCTTCATCCTATTGTTTTACCATCGTTGAATATTGACTTGTATATTTGAAGCTATTTTCTTACCTGTTAGTGTGAATGTCATCCTATGAAACACAGACCTAATTTCATATTTTACAAACTGATTAGAATTACTTGTGAAACTGAAGTTTTTACATGGCATCTCCTCAAAGATCTTCAAAGGCCTCTGAACCAAGGGCTCCAAATCCAAATGATCCAAAAATTTCTAAGGCCTTTAGTGCAATGGAGTGCTTAGGCATTTCCCGTGAAGTTGTCACACCAGTCCTCAAGAATCTTCTTAAATTGTATGGCGGAAGCTGGGAGCTAATCGAAGAAGATAACTATCGAACCCTTGCAGATGCTATATTTGAATCCTTTGATGACAAGGTAATACATATATACATATTAACATATATATCTTCTGTTATTCTATTATCTTCAGTCCCTACGTCAGTGTACTTTTTTTCTGTCTGAATGTTATTAACAGAAGAAGAGTAAGGCTGTAATGGTGGAATCTGAAGATCAGGCTTCATCTGCAAGGGAGAATGGAAACAAGGTAAAGGAATCCAATTCCGATTCCAATCGGAAAGCACATAATTCCAATGTGGAAGGCTCCTCTGTTGATACAAGATTAGGTGCTCAAAGAGTATCATCTTCATCAGGAATACAAAGAAAGAGACATCAAAACAACGAGTCATGTGAAGATAAAGCTACTGATAAAAGGTTAATCCACAAGATCAATGACATAACAAGAGGCACAGAGAGATTGAAAATATCATTGATAGATGAAATTGGTATAGACCTTCCAAAATTTGGGTACATACCAGAAAATACCTCTTATCAAGATGCATATGTGCCTTTCACATTAGCTCGAATTGCAGATGAAAATTGCTGTCTTAAATGTAATGGTGATTGTCTTTCTTCGCGGGTCCCATGTGCTTGTTCTCGTGAAACAGGGGGAGAATTTGCCTATACTTCACAAGGTTTGTTGAAAGATGAGTTTTTAGGGGCTTGCATTTCCATGTATCATGAACCACATAATCATCATCATTTTTATTGCCAAGATTGCCCCTTGGAGAGGGCCAAGAATGTGCAAAATCCTGAACCTTGTAAGGGTCACCTAGTGAGGAAGTTTATAAAAGAATGTTGGAGAAAATGTGGTTGCAGTATGGAATGTGGGAACCGTGTTGTCCAAAGAGGTATTACTTGCAAGTTGCAGGTATGTGAACACACCATTCCTAATTGCTTCTTATTTATATATAGGAGTTATATCATGATTTAGCAACCTACTATTTATGTTATTATCAAAAAGTATTTCTATATTGTTTACATAATATAAATTAAAAAGAATAATTGGTTGCTAAAGCATGGCATAAACTCTTATTTATATTGGATGTTGTACTTTTCCTCTTGTATGATAAACAGATACTTATTATATTGGAATATAAACTGCATATCAGGTGTTTGCAATGGAGGGTAAAGGATGGGGTCTTCGCACACTTGAAAACTTGCCAAAAGGCTCATTTGTATGTGAATATGTTGGAGAAATATTAACAAATATGGAGTTATATGAACGAAACAAGAAAACCAGGATTAATGAGAGGCATACATATCCAGTATCCCTCGATTCAGATTGGGGTTCTGAACAAATACTAAAGGATGAAGAAGCTCTCTGTTTGGATGCAACCAATTATGGAAATGTTGCAAGGTTTATTAATCACAGGTAATTAACTTACATGTGTATTTATCTCTATAAAGTCATGCTCTTTTACTGGAATCTTTATAGCTACTCTTTTTTCTTTTTTATATAAATCTAGATGCTTTGATTCAAACCTGATCGAGATCCCTGTTGAAGTGGAAACACCTGATCATCACTACTATCATGTATGTAATATGTATCAACTTTCTGCATTTAGTGTTTGTAACAGTAAGTATTTTTAGACATCTGACTTGGGTTTTGTTTTATACAGATTGCTTTTTTCACTAAAAGAAATGTTAATGCATACGAAGAGCTGACATGGGTATGCACTCTTCACATCATATAAGCTTAGTTGTTATATATGTATATGTTTATGTATCTGTATATGAAGGTTTAGTTAAAAGAGAAGTGAAGCATTTGAAATGATTCCAGGATTATCAGATTGACTTTGAGGATGATGGGCATCCAATAAAGGCATTTAAATGTCAGTGTGGCAGCTCATACTGCCGAGATGTGAGAAGAGAAGGTTGGTGCATAATGCAAATGCAATGCTGTATGCTATATGTATATGGTTTATTATTTTAAATTTATAATTTTGGTGGAAAAAGAATCAACAATGGTTATGTTGTGCAGGAGTAGGGACCAAAGTGAAAGAGTTGGGGGTAAAGAGGCGTAAATCTGGCACTAGCAGAGTGAATTAACACTAACAATGGTGGGATTTGAGCTTTCTTGTTGCTGTCTGGCATATGATCGATACAGGAGTTTGGCAGCAGTTATAATTGTTAGTCGGTTGCATATATTTTTTGACATTGCTCAATCGACTTTTGGTAAAAAGATGTTTCAATTGTATTTTTGAGTATTGTCCTTTTTTTTCTCCTTAATTTTTATGCAAAGATGGTGATATAGCATTGGGGTTCGGACATGGTGAAGATGTTATTGCTAGGGATAGACGTGTCAAAAGATTAATATTTGAAGTTAGGATCTTAGGATTATCTTAAAGAAGACTTCATAATTTGCTTAAATGATACAAGCTGCCAACATGTTTGGTGTTTCATTACATTGGTTAGGTCAATGAATGGATATTTAAAGGGCACAACACCAAAACTCTCTAGTAATAGTTTCTTCCAAATATGTTTATCCGCATGAATAGTTCTTCTAAGATGATGGGATCTGGTGCATTAGTACTGAATAGTGAATAGTGATTTGAGCGAAGTGAAGGTCATTCCTTCACAACTAACCCATTTTGTTTCTATTTTTCATCGCTTACTCGTTGTGTGTAAGTCATAATGTCATATCTTTGATTTGTTTAATATGTCATGGCTCATCTTAATCAACGAGTTCAACCTGTCAGGTTGTGTTGGTTTTTCTTGGCTTGAAAATTAATATTAGCAAGTGGAATTACTTAATTAGATCATATCATCAATTGTGTGGTCTCTTCCCCGAGGACTTTCAAGCATCTATATATATTAACTTCAACAACATTCATTTGAAACTTACAATTTTCACTTATCCTCTCATTAGTAAACATCAAATGACTTTTTATATCTATATTAAATATTATTTTAATACTACTCGTATTTTTTATTTTACCTTTCAACCAATTAATCATTATAACTTAAAATTCTTTTAACTTATTTTACTTAAATGGTTGATATATATATATATATATATATATATATATATATATATATATATATAGTAGGGATGTTATTCGGACCGGAACTGGACCGAACCAACCCGACCCTCGAACCCGAATAACCCAAAAACCGAATAAGGGTAATTGGATGAACCGAAAACCGAACCGATTAACCAATACGAGTTCGGTTCGGTTCGGGTATTACTCGGTTCGGTTCGGTTATTACCCGAATAACATTTACAAGATGAGTAAGGACCCAATATAACCGAAAAAACCTGAATAAACCGTATTAGGATTCTATAACCCGAATAATAGAATAACAATGTAATTTTATACATCAACATAAAACATTCAAAGACTAACATAACACAATAACACATTGAAAGAATAACATTTACATAGTAGATTAACATAATGAGAATTAATTTCTTACTTGAGTTGGAGCTCAATTTTCCATGACTAGACAAAATAGGAATTCGTGAATCATTAAAGACAATAGGAAGGGTTAATTTTTGAAAGTTTGAAACAAGAGGAAGGATCGACATAAGTGATTTCGAGTTTGCAAATAGATAAGAAGATTGATCGATTTTGAAACGAAGAGAACGAGCATTGGGTTTTTTTTTCTGTTATGAACGACGATGACAAAAGTGTGAATCGTGATTTTGATTTCTATCGATTAGAGAAAGGGGAGGAGGAATGCTTATTCGGGTCGGGTATTTAGAACCGAATAAGCTCTTATTTGGGTAACCCAGACCGAATAACCCGAGAACCGAATAAGCATATATAGATACCCGAGACCCGAATCGAATTACTTATTTGGGTCCAATTCGGTTCAGTTCGGTTCGGTTTCGTTTTGGTTCGGGTTTTCGGGCTAAATTCACATCCCCAGTATATAGTTAGGTTCTAATAATAAGATCGAGAAAAAAAGGACTTTAAAATATGCAATAATCTACTTTAGATGTTAGGACATTGTCAATATTTTGGTTTTTTATAAACATTGGGTCAAATATATTATTATTAAGTTTTTCGTTTTATTTGTATTTTCATTTTAAACTTCTTTGTATTTTTCATATTGTTTCTAATATTATATTTTATATATTGCTTGTCATATTAATATTTGTTTATAATTTTCTTTTTATTTAAAAATTATCTTATTTGTTATCGTTTTATGATCTATTAACAAAACCATAACTCAAATAATCAAATAGTTTGTTACATATTGATGGATGACATGAATAATCTATAATGAATACTTAAATATTAATAAATTGACTTAACGATATGCTAATGATTAGGGCCCACCCTGACCTATCTTAGGCCTGATGTAATAAAAAAAAAAAAAAAAAAAAAAAAAAAACACTAAAAATAGATCTATATAAAAAAATCCTAATTATCACTAGTATATGTTGAAATGGAAAACATTAAACAAAAAATGGCCGCGTAGGAATCGAACTAGGGTAAAGGGCACCATAAGTTTATATAGTCTCACCAATTCGTCTACAATAGGAGAGGTTTTAAAAATCTCCGATTAATTTATATATATATATATATATATATATATATATATATATACACACATTACTAAAAAAAATAGAAAAAAATATGTAGCCCAAAAGGAGTTGAACACGGGTGGATGGATACCGAGTGACGTACCCTTTACCGGGTGTACTTCAATAATTTTCTTAACCAATGTCAATAATATTGTATATAATATAATCTTACTAGGTAAATAGGATGATTTTCGAACCCTATTTTTTTCAGGGCCTGTGCGATAGAACATTTTGAACACCCCTAGGGTCGGCCATGGTAAAGATCTACAAGGAATAATACATATGACACCCTCAACAGAAAGTCATAGAAAAAAGAGGTTCAAACGGTTTTATACGATTTTATTGTGAATATAAATATATGAGCATCATAATTATTATATCATATTCATATATAATTTTATTTAAAGTTATTTTTTAATTTAATAAATTTTCATAAGTTTTTTTCTTATAATAATTACACATATATTGTAATATTCAAGTTTTTGGTAAGTTTCCTTTTAGCCCTTTAATGTAAATTCTTTTCATTTTGGTCATTGGCTAGTACGTGGGGAGTACTATATGAGTACGCTTAGCATATTGGCTATATGTTGGTCGCGGGCATCACCCGCATACGTTGGGCGTACGGCAAACCCTAATTTGTAGGGTTTGCACCCTATTGAAACCTCATTATAGCACCCTTTTGACATTTTTGACCAGCCTCCACCTCCCTTTACCCTAAAAACGAAACCCTAAATGCTTTTGGTGAGTTTTGAGCTTGAAAGTGTGTTTGTTGGTGTTTTGTGGTGAAGAAGAATAAGAGGAACACGTGGGGGGAAAAGCTTGAGCTTGTAAATCCAGATTTATCTTCTCATTTGCAAGTCTTTTGAGGTAAAAAGCTCTCACCTTGACGGTCATTTGTACTAGATCTAGTTTATGGTATTATTATGGCATTTGAGTCTTTTGAGTTAAAGTTGAGCTTTTGATCTACTCCAAAAGAAATGTATGTTAGATCTTAGCTCCATGGAGGTCCATTGTTCATAAAAATGCAAACTTTATGGAGGGTATTGATCCATGCATGTATTAAGATCTTTATTAAGCTTCTTTTTGAGTGTTGGGTCCCATTAAGCCATGAATGTGTGTAAAGTTGCCAACTTTACGTGATAAGTCACCCTTAGGAACTAGATCTGAGAGTTTGGCAAAAGGTCTTAACTGTTTAAGTGCTTAATGAAGAAGACTAGTGGTCAGGGGAGTACGCTGGGCGTACGAGCTGAGTACGCCCCGCGTACTCAACAGTTGGGCGTTATGGGCTTGGCTTTCTCGGTTTGGGCCATAGTTTGGGCTTTCTAAGTTTGGGCCTTGTTAAGCCATTAGACTTCTGATTTGGACTTTTGACTAGTATATTGGGCTTCCTTGGATTTAGGCCCATGATGAGCTTTAGGCCCAATTTGGAAGATTGGGCCATAACTGGGCCTTGAGTTGCCATTTAGGATTTGAGCTTTTTGAGTAGTTGAGTTGGGCCTTGGAAGATTGGGCCATAATTGGGCCCTGAAATCCTTGAAGGAGAGCGTGCGAGTCCCTGACTGGCCCAGTGCCATGTCGCTACTGAATGCCCTAAGGTGATCCTCCATCAGCTCAATGATACCTTTCTTGATCGACACGAAAATCATCGGGGTCGCCTCAAGGATGCATCTCGTAATCTCGGATGCAATGAACGCTCGTAATCCATCATCGACTGGCTCGGAACCCGAACCCGAACCCGAACCTGAACCTGAACCTGAACCTGACCCAGACCCTGACCCTGAACCTCTTGCTCCGTGACGTGTCACCACCATTCTGAAACAAAACACATAATCGTCAGGGTCATACATAACCTCGAGAGGTCTCACACACTATAAGTTCCCTGGTTCTATCTCGGCCCTCCTTGACTCGAGTACGGATCCTATGCTTTCAGTAGTAGGGGCCCATACTACCTTCCACATCTATCCGTACTTTCCTCAAGGATTTCCTTGACTTCACCAAGTCCCTT